TTTTTTTCTTTCATGTCTGTGAGCTCTGTCCTGCTATGTAGCAAATGGTAAAAAGTGTTACATCTTTAATCTTAGACAGGCAGGATCAACTTAAAACTATGTATTGTTTTTATTAATAAAGGAACACTTGAAGGATTATTTTTTCTGAATCCAAAAACTGAAAAATGTCTCTCTTCTCTCCTTCACTCGCATCATTTTTTGCAAACGAAATCTCTGTTTTTAAATAGATATTTTAAAAACAGAGATTTAAAAACAGATATTTAAAAACAGAATCTCTAGAATTTAAAAATAATACTTTTGCAAATGTAACCGAAGTAAGTTATATGAAGCTGTAATCATTTTCTACACCAAGAAACAATAATTGAGGCTTGAATTGTCTGGAACTATTTTTGCATCATAAAAATGATTATCCTGCAGATCTTTATATACCGTGCAGTAACACTGCTTTATTGATTTGTTCAAGAAACCTGCATATAATGTTGCTAAAATGCAAGACATGCACAGAAAGATGCCACCAATATTTATAAAATCAGCCCATCACATTTTTGCTTGCGTATCCACCGCTATAGGGGAGTAACATTGGAGGTAAACGGGGAAAATGTCAAATTTACAATGGATTTGTGCTAAACTGACTATAAACTGAGTAAAATGTACTTTGAATAGTTGACGTTGGGTATAGAATAACTTTAGCACCATCTTTTAGAGAAACTAATCCTGCTTGAATTAGACTTAAACTTTTCTAAGAGTTAAAATGACACTAAGTTTTCTCTCTGGAATTTAACCAAGCATCATTTCAATGACAAGGATGGGAGCACATTTATCTGCTAGTTTATTTTAGCAACTGAACTAATATAAAGTCGTCTTATTGTTGCAACTCGGACTCTTTCTTGAGTTGCACAATCCACAATTCAAGCTTTGCAAGGCAAGGGGAGTCCATCCAGCTCAGTCTTTATGGTCCACAAAACCTTACAATAAACATCAGAAGGAACGGTTTGTTCACTCAGTCGTGTCGGAGCTAAAACTTTTTATTAACTGGAGAAGAAGTTGCCTTGAGTAAGATACAGGACCCAGATGAATGACAGAACTTTTGAATAGTCGCTACACCTCTGTGATGGATGTTGCATGAATGTAAACCCATATATAGAAGAAGTAAGAGATGGAAGTATAGTTGTAATTATTATAGAAATTAGTTTTTAGAATGTAATGCAGCATGTCTTATACAGACGCACACACACGTGATAAGCGGTGACGCTTGATGAATGACGGTGTGTGTGCGAGCGCAGCGAGGCCCTCCATGCGCGCCGACATTCTCGGCCCTCCGCTCTCTGCTGTCACCTATGGAGGTATCATCCCTTACAGTCAGACAGGGATCATGATTGCACCTGCTAATTATCATCTCCAGCTGGAGAGTTAAATGGAGATCTGTTCTATGTCTGACCTTTGACCCCGTGCTCTTTATATGACGCACTTCAAACCCTGTTTGGGGCTGTCTGGGCCGGGCCTTAATGAGGCCCCATGTCTGCCCTCTGTGGGCTGCGCGCCTCGGATGCCCCGCTTTCATCCCCGACTATCTTCCCTTGATGTAAATTGAAAAGATCACAGCTATGGGGAGAAGACCTGTACTGGAAAGGCCTCTCTGCATAGATTATGAATATCATAACTCAACAGTTTTTTTTTTTTTTTTTTTCCCCTTCCCCTCAGCCACCCACTCCCCTCTCTTCGGCTGCCACCCCTTCCCTGTACAATGCTATAGTTCTAATTGGACCCAATGGGGGAGTCTCTGCCTTTGATCTCATCACCGCCACTGTGACTTTACACTAAAAAATGTCACTGCCAAATAGGGTTATCACCTGTAGAGCCTGGCCTTCCTCTGATGCCTGTACGCGTCTCGTTACCTTCACTCAAACTGTAGAAGTTAATTAGTTTGACAGAGCCATTACCGCGGAGGCATACCTGATGATTGTGGCGTAGGCACCACATTCAAGATCCAATTACTAAATACACGTTTATTTCATTTTTTTTTTTTTTTTTTTTTTGTCGGGAATGTGAGCGAGGACGGGTCGCGAGGTTTGATTTCTACTAGTAAAAACAAGGTTCGCACTCGCGCGGCGCAACTAAAAGCGTTTGATTTGAGAGATGTAGCAATTTATCTGAACATTAGGAATATTTTTTGCCCCACTCTTTTGTTCTTCTTAATTTTAAACTCGCTGCTCTTTTGCGCCTTTTTTGTGTTTTTGGGAAGTAAAACTCAGATTGTGCCCCAGCCTCATTAAAAAGTGTTTGCTCACCCTTTCAGAGCCGCAGTGCAGGACTCTGCAGGGTAAACTCGGCTATCCCGTCTGCTCTGACAGTCTTCTGGGTACGCCTCCCCCTCATAGACTGACGACGTCTTCGCTTTGATTCCTCCCCACAAAAAAAAATAAATAAATACAGTTTAATGATTTGCAGATATAAAAAAATAAATAAAAATGTGTGATAAGCACATAAACATGAAATATTAATCCCACAAAGGGCTTTACATAAACATAAAAGCATTTAGTAGAATGAGTGAATATGGAGATGACACTTGTTAATTTAACCATGGTAAACTTTCTGTTTGATGCCTGGAAGCATTTTGCGACGGCAGCGTGGGGACGCCGTGGTGAGTGGGGAAAGCCCAGGGGAGTGGAATCAACACTGTTCGTTTTGTCTTTGTCCCAGTTTAAGATCGACATCTTGCTTTCTTCCCTTCTTTCTTTTGTCTCTTAGCATCTCAGTTCTTTCCTCCATGTGTGATCCGCTCAGACTTCCCAGCTCCAGAGATATTGATCTCACCTGTGATTGAAATTAGACGGGGGGGCAGGATGAAATTGTCACTGTATTATGTCCTTTAGTAAAAATACTACATTTTTACAGTAATAAAAGATTTATGCCATGATTTATGGTTAACCAGAAAAACAACAATTAATAGCAGTGCTGCTAAAAATAATACAAAATATTGATAATTATGGGGTTAGTAGTACTGTTGCCTTGCAGAAAAATGGTTCTGGTGTCTAATGGGGTCTTAAAGCGTGGAGTTGCATGTTCTCCCTGAGCAGGTGGGGGTTCGCTCCAGGTACTCCAGCTTCCTCCCACAGTCCAAAAACATGACATTGCTCTTAAAACGGGGTTTTGTAAGTTTTATAAAAATGTTTTTTTTGTTTTTTTTTGCATATTTGCTAAAACTTTCACAATGTCGTGACAGTAAAATATGAAACAGATCTGTGAAAAAAAATCGAACTCCTCTGCCTTCTCCCAAAGCTCCCAGTACTGACTGCAGACATACATCATTGGGTCAGAAATAACCAATCAGAGCCAAGAGAAGGATTTTAGCGCTGTCAATCAAGATGGTGTACAGACAATGCAACTGAGCAATAAAATATAAGCCATCACACCTAGAATTAAATTTTCATATTTACCTAACAAAAAATATTTCTTATAAAAATAATGGACAACCCTTTGAGTTAGAGTTTTAAGTAGATATAACACATGAGAGTTCTGTTATTTGACTAGAGCAGTAGATTCCATTTGTCCCTCAGCCTTGTCTGATTTGCATGTGCTCTTTGTTGATGGGTTCATAAAAGAATACAAATAAAACTTATGTTTCTGTATTTTACCAGCTGATCACAAATCGGATCCAGTCGAGAGAAAATCAACTGATTCTGATTCCCGATTTATGTTCATAACTTTACCCATAACTTTTTAAACACATGCCTGATTTAAAAAGACACAATAAAAATGTTTGTTTAGTGCATTTTTCTCATTAGAACTACAAAATGAAAAGTCTGTCAGCAATAAAACACTCACAGCGGCGACACATAGGAACACACACACACACACACGTCACAACCTGGTGTTGCATTGTTTTAAACAGTGACTGGGTTGGACTGCTGAAATTTACAATGCAGTGTTAAATGGAGGAACCAGACTGCTAACTCTAGATGTTAATTTACTCTTTTTCTGGTTTCACACAGCAGCTCCACATGCGCTGTCAATTTTTCAGTTTTTAAGTGTCGAAATGTGAATAAAGAGTTTCGACTTGTTACCTTCAACATTATATTTTTGCATATAAAAAGTTATTTTTACACAATATTACATATCGCAGAAGTGGAATTGAAGCTTCAACCCTTCATTTCCTTCTTTGCATCAGCTTACAATTGATTTTTTTATTTTTTTTTCCGAGTAATGTAGATGAGAAACAGGCTTTAGTATGAAGCTGGTGCAGCCCACACAGAGACAGCGACAGTCCCTCGCTACATGACATCACTACTGTATCTCTGCCTCCTCCTCGCACTTCCACAACACAGTCAGACCACTGCTGAGCAGGTGAGGAGAGCCTCTTGACAACTTCCTTCCCAGACTCCCCAGGGCCCGGTGGCCAGGGTGAATCTTTTGTCATCCTGAAACAAGCTCAGGCCTGCTGCTCCTCCACTCTCGCCTGGAGTCCTGGAGACAGAGCCAGGAGAGGGGGGAAATAATTAAAGACGTTTTATGTCAAGAATCCCTTTCTAGAGGGAGTCTGGGAGAGCCAAGAGGGGAGGGGAGAACAGCAGGTCTGGGTGGAAGGACCAGGAGACTTGAGACATGGAGGCAGAAATGAAAGGAGGGAAGGTGATGGCGGGGGAAGAAGGAGGGCTGAAGGAGGAAGAGCAAAGATGCAACTTTCTATTTCCTCTCTTCTTTACCCTCTCTTCCAACTCCCCCTCCCTCCAGCCCCAATGCGCTGCTCAATTAGCAAAGCAGCAGGTGCTCCCAGCAGCACAACAGATAAGCTTGAAGGAAAGGCTTTCATTCTTTTCTATCCCTTTTTTTGAGATGACCTGCAAATGTGATACTTCACACCCAGAATAGGCTAGCTGTTTCCTCCACCAATTTCAGAGGTGATAATTTAACTTTTACCCTTCCATGTCTCCCTCCCCTCTCTCCCTGATCCCTGTCTTTATCATCTCCAACGCTTTCCCATCCTCGATGTTTTCCACCAGGTGTCCGCTCTGAAGGGCAAGCTGAAGAAGCAGTCCACGGCAACAGGAAGTGGCGTGGCCAGGGCCTTCCTGAGAACGCAGGCCGCTCTGTTTGGATCGTACAGAGATGCGCTCAGATATAAACCTGTAAGTTCCTTCGTCATTTATTACTAACAGTTATTGAAGAGTTTTCCCCCTCAGCTTTATTTTTTAATTCAGTGTATTTATCCAACATGAAACGCTGTAAATATTATTTATTGGAACCTCTGTCAGAAGTCTGTGTTTTTTTGCAAAATCAACAACACTAATCAATAATTATTGATGTCGACTGATATGAAACACATTTTCAGTCATATCGTCCAGCCTTAATCTCATGTATTTGCACATTTTAGCAGTTTGCAAGCAGCTGTGTCCATAACCCCTATGGATACCAGGGATCCACTCGATTCCTGATTTTTCTGACATGCAAATGGCCTCAAACTAATTGAAACATCAGCATAGTTCTGACTCACCTTTAAGAGCTGTTACACTTTTAAGACTGTCTGAAGAAAATAAAGCATCAAGCACATAATATGGATTCATATTCACAAGCTGAAGCATTTTGTGAATAGAACAGATTTTCTCTTGGTGATGTGCAGGACATGGTAGCAGTCTTATCTGAAGTGAAGTGAGTCGAGCTTCACTTGCGTCTGTTAAGGCTGTGGCAGTTTTGACTGAGGGTAAGAGGTGTGTTTTCAGACGGAGAGCAGAGCTAAGGTGGGCTTGTCTGAAGCAGTGAAATGTCAGAGGAGCTGGAAGGAGTCAGGACGTTCCCTTTGAAGATCCCTTTTAGCCACCTTTGGTGTTTAACTCTCCTTTACTAAGCCCCCCTAACATTTCTTTTCTAGATCTTCTCTGCTTATCAAGTCTGAGTCAGAGCAGAGCAAACTACACCATGTCCTGTTTGTCAAATAGCGAAGCCTTTGTTCCTTAGTCTTTGAGATTAATTGGACTTTGTGGACTCCCGGAGTCAAGATGCTACATTATTGATGCTGTCTCTCTTTTCCTCTGTATACAGACAGTACACGAACAAACTGCCTCCCCTCTGACACCAGCACAGAGATGCAGCATGTTTGTGTGTGTGTGTGAGCGGCAATTTCTCAGTTCACTCACGCTCACAGTGTTTGCTTGTAGACAAGGTCTGCATAAAAGCCTCCGATTTAACATACATGTTAAAATCTAAACAGAGCATCCAGTTTAATGAAGTTGCTCATAATTTCCCGCAGTATTTGTAGAGTATCACAGCGCTGCTCATTGTTCTGAGCTGAAGAAAAGATCCTCCTGGAAAGAGCTGAGTTGTGCTGAGCGGTTCACAGACCCATATGCCTCAACAGAAGGAGGGGTGTGGATGCTTAGTGGGAGTCTTGCTGAGCTGTAAATGAAACAAAACTGGAGCCTGATAATGAGCTGAAAGGCAATCAGCTGATTATACCTGGTTTTCTTACGCCATCAGTTTGAGCTCGACGTTCTTCTGCCAGGTGTTTCTCGCCATCTTCCGTTAAAAAAACTTGCGAAATTAGTTTTAGCCAGCAGGACTATTAAGACTCAGCCTCAGTTAAAGTTTGAACAAGCTATTCGCTAATCAGTTCTGAGAGTGAAGCAAGATGGGATCTTAGAAAATGGCTAGGGTGTCATCACGTTCAACACCCTCTTTCTTGGCACCCTTGCTTAAGATGTGTTAAAAATATTTTTAAAAATGTCGGTTTTTACCACAGGAACAGATTTACACTCAAACAAGTGAGCTTTAAAATCTTTGTGTCTTTTCTCTGCTGCAAAGTTCAATTCAGTTTACTTGTATGACGCCAATTCACAACAAATGTCTTCATGAGGACCTTTTCAAAAAAGTAATTTCAATTCAATCCCACATACATTCCAATTAATCCTACTTATCAAATCGTGCCTTAGTCATTTCCTCCTCCTGGACGAACATGTAGCGACAGCAGATAATCGCTTGTGTTGTGTCATTGACTTTACAGGAATCCCTCATGCCACGCATCATGCATTTAGTGATAGTGGAGAGGAAAAACTCCCCTTTAATAGGAAGAAACCTCCAGCAGAACCAGAGCCTGGCTCTGTACAAGTGGCCATCTGCCACAGACATTTCTAAAAGAAACGTAAAAACTTTAATGTTAAGGAGAACGTAAACGCTCATTTGGCCTTGCTTGTCATAAAAGATTTGAATAATTGCTTTCACTGTCACTGAAAAATAACTGGCACATTAAGGAGAAGAGATATTTTATTTGTGGCTGATCTGTAACTTATAAAAGAGCAACACACATTGCCTTAGCTGGATGACATGGTTTCTTTACCATTTTCAAAAAGGGAAATTATGTCAAAAAATATTGTTTTCCTGCTCAATTTGCCAGTGTGATCTCATCAGGAAGAATATTGTAAAGAATCGGTGGTCCAGCAAAAAAAAGTTTAATATTCTCCAGTTTTCAGTCTTTTACTGTGGCGTGACCAGAACAGCTCTGACTGAGCTGTCAGCCAGAGGCAGGAAGTGTCTCTGTGAAAAAAGAATTAGGACACGTCATTACACTCACACTTCTTCTTTAAAATGTTCAGGTATGGATTTCTAACACAGATATATATTATGTTTCAGCAGAAGAGTGACTTAATAGCATTTAAACAGCAAAATTGAGCCTTTTCATTCATTAAATAAAATGTAACAATAAAACTGGTAGTTTGGGGAAAAAGTTAGGACACCCTACTCGCTACCCTCTTAGCTGAAAAATCTTTTTGCTTTTAAAACTTTTCACGATTTAACTGGAGCTGCGTTCTTGTGAAGTAATTTGGGCCACTGGTATCATTTTCCCATCCTTGAAAATGAGGTTACTCTCCGCTGTTGTTCAGCTGTTTGTATGAGCCACATTGCGCTCGTAGCCTTGAACAGACAAAGCTCATTGTTTTCACTGCACAGGAATTTAGAGCATCGTTGAAATGTGTGAGAGTTATGTTAATTATAAGATAACATGAATTAGAATTGACTGGAGGGCAGCGTGTGATTGGCCCGGAGTGGTTCTGTTGTCATCCTCTGTGTCTATAGCTCACAGGCCAACAGACATGATGTAAGAAATGGTAATAATGTGATAATGTGTTTATACGGAGGACTGGGAAGTTTAGTGGGACACCGTCATCTGGTCCAGCGCAGCTCATATGAGCGCAGCCAGGGGAAATGGTTGAAAGGGGACTGTTTTCAATTTCTTTTAAAAACTTAAACTTCTTGTTTCCTTTCTGTTTCAGTATTACTTGAATTTTCTACTTGTTTCTCACTAATGAAGAAATCAGCTGAAATACTCCCAAAGCAAAGCGTATATCCAGTTCCTTCCACACTGTCGTGTTGTAGCCACAAACTTTCATTAATTTTATTTGTAGTGAGGCCAGGGTTCGGCAACTTTTGCAACTCAAGCAGCCAATTTTTGTCTTCTGTGGCTACAAAATAAAACGTGTATTTAGCAAAATGAAACATTTCTCTCTGCAGGGAGAACCAATCACCTTCTGCGAGGAGAGTTTTGCCAACCATCGCTCGAGTACGATGAAGAACTTCCTGTCCATGGCTGTCAACCTGCAGCTCTTTAAACAGGTACAGACAGCTGTGCATGTTTGCCTCTGTTCAACTGGCACTCTTTTCTGCATGTTGGAGATAACAAAATTGGTGCAATCTTTTAAAAATAACAAAAAAAAAATGTGGGAGTTAAGTTTGTTTTCTGTTCTACAATTTAATCTGTGTGAAAAGGGGCAGATTTTTCATCGTTCTTGCTTATCATTTTCTTCTGTCACAGTTACTTATACAGTGTATCTTGGTGTAGCGTATCTAAAGAACACACAAGTAAAAAAAACAAAAAAAAAACAGGACATATTTAGTCGCCATCTAGGAACTGCACTTTTGTTAGCAAGCCCAACAAAAAACCTTAAGCGGGTTTTTTGTTGGGAAGTGATTGTTACAGATGGACGCCGTCTCTCAGCAAACTGTCAGCTGCTCAGGGTTGGCGGTTAGTATCTTGACAGTTCAGTTGTTCAGAATGAGGAGGAATTTAGAAGAGCAAAGCCCGGATTATGGACGGTTACTGACCCTTTCAAACTGTTTACGGTCATTATCGCCATGCTCAGATTTTAATGTTTCTCTGTTTATTCAGTTTTTATCTTCAGTACAAACAAAAGTGATAAATTAGGGCTGCAGGGTCCACTGACTGTATAAAACCATAACAAGTTTGCATTCTGTCCTCAACATGTTTGTGCCAGTCTTTGAAAGCACAAAAAGCTCATGCCAGACTGTAATGTAAGTCGTTTCTCCTCTGTGGTGCTCAGTGTCTTGTCTGTTCAAGGATGCATTCTCTATTCATGTGTGGTTTGTTTTAAAAACAAACAAAAAAAAATCACTCATGTATACTTAATGTTTTCCCTCCAAGTCCCTTCAGTAATGCTAAATTTAGCGAAGCTAGAACTAGAGGAAAGGCACCTCTGGCTTTCCTCTCGCTCTTTTTCCCCTCACCTCTTTGTGCTCTCTGACCCATGATAGTTGTGTGATTTCCCCTCGAGAGTACAGAACAGCGGCCCTCAATCAGCCTTTTGTTTCTCTGGACACCCTGTTCATAATTTTCCCAGGCAGAGGAGATAGTGAGCATCAGTTCAAAGCCTCCTCCGGGCCGGCTGCCTCCTCAAGCGGTAGCATTGGGAAACAGGTCCTTATCTCCTCCTCCTCCCCCTCTCGATAGCAGGGGATGGGGTGAGCTTATCTGCTCCACTCCTCTTTCTGCTAAAGTGAGCGGGGCCAGTGGTTTTGCCCGAGCGATGCTCTGACCATGACCCACATCCGCTCAGAAACACACATGCAGTGCTTCTCTTGCATGGCCACACACATGCACGCATACATTTTTATATTGATAGGTACATGCTGTGGGAATGAAGATGTCTTGGTCAGTAGTTTCTTATTCAATAGTTTTATCTCAGCTACTTTTGTGTCTTGGGCAATATTTCTCCTTATCCTGTTTCCAGACACATGGTCTACACACTGACAAACACACAAACACACAGGTAACGGAAACAAAAACCAAGACAGAAGAAAATTGGTCTTCTATTTGAAACGCCAAACTTGACCATTGGTGCAAAGCAAAATGACTATTCAAGATAAAAGTAGTGATTGCAGCTTTTGCAGCTCGAGTTTGAGTTCATAATGCAAAGATTTGTCTGGTGATTCATACAGTGAGGAATAGGAAATCAGTTCCTTGTTGTCTGAGTTGCAGTACATTGGAGACCCATTAAGCTGGCGTTCTGCTAGGACTTTAGTCGAGTCCATCCTACCGTTTTTCAAATGACCACACTGTTGTTTAATACACTAAAATTATGTCAACATTCATATAGATATTGTAATCTGTGCTCCTGTTCTGACCTGCATTGGTAAACAGGACATATTATGCAAAATTCTCATTTTGCATGATTTTGTATTTCCTTTTGGGTTTCTACTGCTTATAATAACAGGCCAAGTGCTTAGAAAACCCTGGCTATAAGTCAGTTTTTTTGGTGTCTGGGAAATGAGCCGCTTCAAAAACTGCCCGATTGTTAAGTCACATTTAAAAGGCACTGCCTCGTTACCTAGCAACCCCAGCCAAGCCAAACGCTGTCACCTAGCAACCCAAGCTGTTTGGTCAGCTGGTTTTACTGCTGTGTGTGCTGTTCATTGGCTGCTGGAGAAGACAGGTGTTTTGTTGTTGACTTACCTTCCAGAAACCACTTGCTGCATTGTAGTTAGTTGTGCAGGAGGCTCTATTTATGCTTTTCAAAGATGTAAGGTTGTATAATTGTGCACCTGTTTGCAGCCATGTTCACATGAGAGTGTAAACGTTTAGCTGGGAGGGCGTGGCCAACAGCAGCTTATTTAAAGCGACAAGATGCCCTAAAACACTCTGGAAGGAGCTCAAAATAGTCTGAACTGTACAAACTAAAATCTTATCATCTATGAATGTTTTTGTGCAAAAAATGTTTCAAACATTTGATCCAAGTCCTACAATTGAGACAGTGCTACCAAATACATAGAAAATATAAATGGACTTTTGATTTTGAAGAAATTAATAATTAAATATCTGACATGTTATTTCTCCAACTATTGTGGCATTTAGCAAATAGAAATAATTTGATTACGCTAGCTGATCAAATTAGAGAAGCTTGCTTCAGAAAGTGAAAAAGCTGTCTGTTGGTGTATGCAAACTTCTGGTTTCAACTGTATTTTTATTTTGAAGGTCTGCAGGTTTGTTGGGTTTTATGCACTTTGAAAATAGAACAGTTTCCACAAACGTTGCATTGCACAAAGCGTTAGTAAATCTTGTTTCAGTCTCATATTTAATAGATTTTATCTGTTTTCATTTCAATAATTTACCCCGCTCTCTAGTGGAACTCCATACATCTTGAATAAAATCAAATTCACTGTAAATTATTCATTTATTTATTCTCAAAACAATACCCAAAGTCTGGGATTTTATACTCCTGGCCTTACTGATTTTAAACCTTCAAAATTTAAACCATACTGTTGGACTCTGTTGACCTCAGTCCACATTAAAAAGTCCAAACCACATGTGAATACCTCTGAAGTGTTACCTGAGGTGGAGGTGTTACCATATCTTAGCAGGAAATTGCTTTTCTACATGTACTTTTTTGATTGATTGCAAGTGTTTTTCACTCCCTTTAAATTACCCGTTTAAGTAACAGTCCCCTCATTTGAGCAGCACGGAGCTGTTAATCTAAATCTGCAGCACATTATGAATAATTGGAGAGTTAAATTGCTCAGTTAACTGAAAGAGTTTGTCTTTTTACAAGACAAATTTTACTTGCATCTTACTTTGCAGTACACCTGGTTACATTAATGTTAGAGAGCATATGCTTAAATTACCATTGTTCTTATGAGTTTACATGACCTATAAAGCAATAATAAAAAAAAGAGCATATTGGAGTGGTGTGCTGAAAGAAAACCAGAACCTAAATCATAAATAATTTTATCTTTTTTTTCTGAGTAATAGTCTTTACACTAATCCTAAAATACACACACAGAGGCCACATGCTTCTTAAAATGTCACATATTCACCTTCTTGCACACACAGGCTCTTTTTTTCTTCCTCCACTCGGTCAAGCAGTCCATCTTTGTTCAGAACAGAACAAGTGGGAGAAGTCTTCAGAAGGAATGCGGGGGAACATCTGTCAACATTAACCTGCTTCCTATCAACCGTCTCCAGCTCCTGCACTCACTCAGGCTCTCAAGCACACTTCGATTGTCATGTGGATATTATGCAAACAGAGAAGGAGTAAATGAACCCTTTTCTTCTTGTTGCAAGAGCCTGAAGGGGCACTTGTACCCAGATGGTTTACTACCAGTAGTCTTCTATATGTATATTTATTCAGTTTTGGTGTATATGAGCAGAATTGCCAAGGCAGTATTGGAAAGAGTTGCTGAAAATAGCAAAGCCAATTTTTACATAAATCTTGGATCTCTTAATGCATTTCCTCCATAAAGTATAGAGTTAACAAGCATGTAGCACCACTGAACAGATTTTAGTACAGTCGATTTTAAATGTTTCCATCCACGCCTCATGAGATTTTGAGGGGGTTTTTTTCCTGTGTGCTTGATTGACATCTCTCCTAACATATCTTGCAGTGTCAACAGCTGCCACTTTCTCCTTAGTTGTAGTCTTTACTCATGGGGACTCTTCAAATAAGGAAGTGTTTGGACTCCTTTTAGGCTCTACATTCATGTCGCTCTAAATGAACTTCTGTCGATTCTTCATTTCTGGCTATGCAAACTATAGGCCAAACAAACTGAGACAAAAGCTGCAGGATCAATAACTTTCCCCTTTTTTACCAAGTTAAAACAAAGTCCCTTTACAACATGTAATGAAGATTGATTTTGTTAAATTCACAACCTTTGCATGGATTTGTAATTGCAATCGCCAAAGCAAATTTTTTTAGCAAATTAACTAGGTTTGTAAAGGTGCTATCTTTGTCTTTCTGTCTAAATTTGGACATTTTTGTGTACATTTGTTTAATGTCAGATCTGGCCTCCTTAAGTTGAACAGTGGCTAGTCCAACTGAATTTTCCTATTGGTTATAACAGCACAGCTTGGTTAGCATTTATGTTGCAGACCCACGTTCGGGTATGAAATCGTCTCACTGGTCAGTTGCTTCACAGGATGTCGACATATTTGTAACAGGAAAAAGTCTCTAAATTAGTTGCTAGTCACTTTTAAAAAAATACTACAGGGATCTAAATAATTGCTAAATATAGCGATAAAGTGCATAAGTTGGTAACTGTTCTTCCTTTGTCCTGTCCTGCTCCACATTTGGCCACGCCCCTCAATGTATCTTGACTCCGCCCACCTTGGTGGAATTTTTTCTAAATTTGTTTGGGGGCAGAGTTTTGCTTTCACAGCATGACTTTGTAGAATGTAACCTTAATTTTAGCTTAAACTTTAGCCTTAAGGTAATATTAATGAGCTTCTAAGGGAGAGAATGCCATTCCGGTGCCTTGCAGACGTAGCAATACGCCTTGAACCTTTTCACAACCATCATTTTGTGCTAGAAGTGCTAGAATAATAGTACACGGTTTTTATTTCTGTTTTTATTTTTTCTTTCAAAATAAAAATATGAAAAGTTTGGTGTGCATTGCTACAGATTAGGGATGAAGTTTCGGACAAGTTTTAAAGCAGTGCTAAGCTACGCAACAAGCTTTGAACATCTGATGGAGTTTAATGCGCCATCCGAAAAAGGAAGTACTGAACTACGAACTGATAATCTGACAGGTTGAGCCAGCATGGCTTTAATCAACAGATCCATTGTAACTCTGGAGATTCTTGCCTCAAATAGGAGAATTTGTTCAAAGATAATAGTTGTAGCATGCACAGCTAACAGCAAGCTATTTTGCAAGAGAAATGTAGAGATATTGAATCATATTTTCCTTCCATTTTACAATTAAAGACAGTGAGATGCATTGAATTTTGTGGCTGTTAGGTGAGGAAAAAGTTAAATAGATCTGAAAACTGCAATATTCTAAAATCATCTGTATTTCGTGTTAATAAATCTGACCCCAATATGGTCTTAAAATTTTAAGTGCTTTTTCTTCTCTCTAAAAACAGAGAAAATGACTTTCTCCCCTTTGTTTCTGCTCATGCAGATGTTTTTTTTTTTTTTTTAGTGGTGGTTTACATGTTTGTGATCACAGCCTGCCATTGTTGAGTAATGTCCAATTAAGGCCCACAGCGAGGCAGGTAATCTGGCCGGGGTTTGAGTGGGGGTGCAGGGTGTTTAAGTGGAGGCTCGGGCGAGGTGATGATTTGGGTTGATTATCTCCGCTAATTGGACCAGCCATGTAGCGGAGCAGCCGATGGAGTCTGCAGTCTCACCTCTCATTAAAATGATCTAATGATTAGTTTCCAGCTCTCCTGACCAGAGGAGCGGGTAGCCGTGTCGGTCGCTAGTTAGCAGGCTGTCCCTGAGGACATGCACCCAAGAACAGGCTGTACTGGTGTTACACTGCGGACGTGCTAACACAAGGGGGAGGAGTAGGATTGTTGCATTAACAAAAAAAAAAAAGAAAAAAAAAAGTGGTCTGACAATATGTTGCTGTCAAGTTTTTCTTTATTATTCTTGAAAGACTATAGTGCCATTTGTTAGTTATTAAAAAAGTTAAATAGGGTTTGGAAGGTTGAAGGTTTATCTCACTAATTAATGACATCAGTTAAAAAAGTTTGCCTTGAAAGCACATGTGGATTTTTTGCATAAATTGTAATTATTTTCATTATGATGTTGCATCATTTTTACCTGTTTTTCCACCTACTTAGACAAAAAAACATGGCTACAACTGAAAATATTTCTGCATATGCTTCAAGTGTCAAAGATCATATTAAAATATAAATATAGTCATATGTATGTATATGACTTCTGAAAGTTAACTTTTCTGTTTTTCTAAGGGACTTTATTTTTATTCAGAGTTTATAAAAATACTAGATGATCTATTACCCATTTTCCCAGAGCATTATCAGTAATATATTGAGACATTACCAGTAAAGGGGAACTTGGACTCGGTTAACATGGGGATTCCTATGATTGTTTATTAAATTAGGAAGATCTTCATTGTTAATAACTATGTAAAAGCATCGTATTAAAATCCAGCTTTGCCAGGATATACAGTTAAACTACTCCTGGTGTGGCAGCAGATTATTTATAATGGTCCAAAATGCTCTAAAGAGGTTCTGATGCAAGCAAACTCTTATCGCTTTTTTATCCGAAAAATGCACTTAGTTTATTAATTTAACTCGACGAGTGTTTGTTATTGTTTATTTTGTGACATATTAATGTGCTGTTTGTCATTGAGCTAATAAAACGTGCAGCTGTCTCGGCTGTTAAGTGCTTATTTATGACGTGGAGTTTAGTGGGCTCCGTGTTACAAAGGGAGGAAATGAAACTTCCTCATGTCTCAGACAGTGTGCAGAATTTAGACTGCAGCTCTAATCCCTCATCTGCTCCATATTAACAAATCCCTATTACCTGGAAACCCACCTAATCTCTGGATGTAGTTTCCTTCAGGTAGGATTAATAACACCCCTCTGAGGCTCAAGTGTTTGAATCTGTGTATATGTGAGTGTGCCCCCTCTCCCGCTTCCCCTCCACTCCTTTAATAAGCATGTTGTAATTTATGGTTGCAGTTCATCGACGGACGGCTGGCCAAATTAAACGCAGGCCGCGGCTTCACCGATGTGTTTGAAGAAGAGATCACAGAGGGGGGCTTCTGTGGAAGTGAGTAGTGCCAGACTTGTCTGCCAATAAGATTAACTGTATTTATTTTTCATATTTATTGCACCTCATTGATGCTGCTGTGCTATTGTTCATGTGAAGCACAGGGAGGGGAAGAAAAATAAACCAAAAGAGTTATGTTTAACACTTTTACTGCAGTAGAAATTGTGTTTTCAACCAAGTAAAGCTTTAAAAAAAATCGAAATAAATATGTAAAACCCATTAAGATGCTTGAGTTAGCATCGTGAGCCACAAATGTCTTAAAATCAACTCCTGGTTTTTCAGTCGTGTTGCTCAAAACTCTCAGTTCTGACACCAGAAATGTGAAAATGAACATCTATCACTATCACTGACTTAATTAGCTAAAAACAATGCCACTGTAAATTTGCCACAAACTTCTCAGTTTATCCTGAGAAGCTCCTGGAAATCTTGACTCTTTTTGGGAAAGAAGAAGAAGTTGAAATGACAGAGCTGATCTTGAGTCTTTTGTTGGGCCCAACTATGAATCACCAGCATGTAACGCTCTACTTTGTTCAAGATGCTGATCTGTCTTCAAGTGTCGGAGTCTTGATGAAGACAAGCATGTTATTGACATATATGCATGTACATACCTGCATATGTATAAAGTACATCTGAATAAAGTAGTTTTTTAAGAAAAGGGTATTTTAATTAACTTACTGAGTTGAAAAATTTAAACACAAAGTGACATATTTAAATAATTACGGCTTGCAACTCATGAAATCCCAAAATTCTAATTTAAGAAAGTTAATATTTCACATAAAACCAAAGGAAAAATGTTTTTAATTCAGAACTGTCAGCCTACTGAAGGTTTGCTCTTGTACTATGAAGTATATGCACTGAACACTTTTTCATGAATTGCAGTATCAATACTCTTTGACTTTAAAAAGGCCCAGATTGCTACATATTGAAAGGATTTTGCTTCACAATCCTCTCAAAGCTGTAGTTATCATATAACAGTTATCATCTACAACACTTTTTCCTTCCACTTAACTTTTCACTAAACTACTTTGATACATCACTAAGTGAGGACCCAGTTTTTCTATCAGTAACCGTTTTTATTTTCTTTCTCCTCGGAGATGTCATTGACTCAGCTGGATAGATTTCAAGTCAGCCAAAAATTTTCAGTGCAACTTCATTTTTCCAACATCTGGTGACATGAAGATACAGACCAACACGTTTTGGCTCTTGGCCTTTGTCACAGGATCATCAGGATGACCATATTATAAAACATCCACATGTATCACTCTGCTACAGTCTCACTTTTTGCATTTAAATTAAAGAAATCTGTTAACTTTTCAATGATATTCTAATATGTGGGCTTGTGCCTGGATTGCATTTCTGCTTCACATTTCTACGGTGTATGAAGATGCATGGCTTTGAGTAAACAGCACTCCTGCATCATCTCTGTACGCATAAAGCATATGTAAATAATCTCCTGCTAAGTCAGCATTGTGCCATTTATAGCACACATAAGCACCACTGCTATGAAATGTATGTTCCCGATAATAATCGTACCCAATGTAATGCTGCGCTTTGCAAATGTCATGCCTGCCCCGACAGCTAGAGGAATCCTTGAGTACAAGTTCAGTATTTAATGCCAAGCTGAAAGCCAAAGCAGAAATGTGTGAGGTTTCTCTCTTTGAGAGCATGACTTGGTGGATTTCGTGGAAACTGGCAAAAAAGGAAAACCGTGTTAAATTTTAGTGCAAGAATGAAAAATGCATCTGAAAACTAAAATAAAACATTGCCCTTGATCGCATGGCCTTTCAGAGTTTCCTTTCAGATTCCTGTTTGAATTCAGAATCAAAATTTTATCTCATGCTGACAACAAAGAGGCGCAGATATCAGAAAAATCCTTTTCTACGAAACTGAAAAAGAAGTTTAAGGGAAAATCCTAGCAAAATCTTTATCTGTCTTCATTTTCCATATTTTGATTTATAATGTAACAGTTGTGTTGTCCCTGTGCAGCTAAGTACGGAAATGTTTGGATGTAATTTTCTTTTTGCTTCTTAAATAAAAAACTGAAGGTGTGCACCAAAAGAAACTGAAAGCAAAGCACCACAACCCAGTGGTTTGGTTTTCTAAAAGATTCTTAGCCTTAGAGGATTCTCAACAAAATGTCATAATGCAACTTTTATGGTTGCCACAATTTGTGTTAAGTTTTAACTCCCAAAGATGAAGGTTTACCAAACATTTATTTTATTCTTACTTTTTCACACTTTGACTTTTGTGATCACCCAAAACATCAGACAAAGATAAACCACAGATACACAAAAAAGTGTTTCAAATGACGCGTGTGTTTTTTTCGAATCACAAACACATTGTGGAAGTTATGAAGTTTAGAGGGAAATTTCTTCCACATAGAGCCTGGTTGGCTTGGATATTTATTTTTCTTTAATAAAGGCAATCATAGTTTGAAAGCTGCATTGTGTATTTACTTGTCTTTGGATGGTGTTTATATTTGACGACCTTTTTTGTCAAACAAATATGTGGCAAAAAAGAACAATTAATATTAAAAATATAAGAGCTGAATGTTCTTTCACAGCTCTGTAAGTCATTCAGTCCTGAAACCTTTTTAAACTATAGTTTATTTAGGATTGTTTTTCTGGGTCTGAGTGTTGCTCATAGTGATTTATAATGTTGCTTTTGAATCATCCTGAAAACAGCGAGCTTCTGATGAAACGGTGATTAATTCATATCCCTGGTTTCCCCCCCGTCTCCTCAGGTAATTCAAGGTCCTACCAGCAGTGGATGCACACTGTGAAGGTATTTACACAACGTCCTGTGCAGCATCCAGCTTCTCTCGCCGGGATCCTTGTGTTTCATTTTTACTCTCCACTTATATTTAATTGAAGGCCTGATTGACACAGCTCAATGTTTGAAGTCTTGCTGTTGCCTTTGGAATGAAGGGGTTGCCTGAACGTACAGATCCAGCTGGAGTGTGTGTGTGTGTGTGTGTGTGTAGCGGCGCGTGCAGCAGGACACTGGATACAGACAGGGAGGAAGACAGAAGCGATTTGACGTGACAAGACGTCCTCCGACATGACATGTTGATCTGGCAGCAAACACAGGCGTTACGCCGCTGAACCAGCCCAAGAACATACATCTCTTCCTCCTTCATCTCTTTTGGGCCCTTCCCTCATATCCTTTCCTTCCCTTATCTATCTGTCTTTATCTCTCTCCCCCTTTTCATCTCTGTCACCCCTCCCCCCCGATTCCTCCCCCGTCTCTCACCCTTCCTATCTCCCCACGCCGTCAGCTAAGGCTGAATTAGTTCTCTAGAGTGCTCTTCAAAGGTTTGTTAAAGTTCACATTTCCTGACTGACAGGGATCTATAAGAGAGGCCTTCACCTCGGCCCCTCTCCTCCTCTCTTTCTGCCAACTTCTGAAACGCTGTCTGCCATTTACTCTGTTTAGCCGTTTAGTCGGCGTTTTGTGCTTACACTAAAGACCAAACTGAGACGAAAACGGCAACTCTGAGAGAAAAGAAGAAAGACACAGAGAAACAGATTGGGCACCATAATGTCAGCCTTCCCAACTCAGAGGATGAAATACATTCCCCTCCATAACTCCTTTAGGCTTCTTTTTAATAAAAAGCTCTTGAATGCTGTGAATTGCTTAGTTTATTCTAGTTTATCAGCACCATTTTCTGCTGTTCCTGCAATATGACTGAGCGATGCAGAGGTTTGCAGGAATTTTCAAAATATCTGATAATTTCATTGGTCAGAGTTTAGCTTGGAATAATTTTGGCTTTTTATCTTTGACACCGGCACTAAATTCACTCTGCAAACTAACTATTAAATACTCTATAGGATGTTTAATGACTGTGTGATTAAACTTTCAATTGAATCAAGCTCATGAAAGTCCAACACTTATCAGGAGTTTAAGCAAGTCAGTTCTGGAGGTTGAAATTGTATTTCTGATGCCTTTTAATCCATCAGTGAACTTAGAAAGAGCCTCATATTGGGTCGTTTTCTTTCTCTGAATCCTATTCCAGGTTTTCATCTGTCCATCTCAGCTTGAGACATAACTGGCTTTTTCTTGTCCAACATTTGTATTTTTTAAAAGCAAGATTCTCCAGAGTTTGTGCGTCTTGTAAATATGTTTACTGACTGAAAAAAGGATTAATCTTCTGTTTTGGTATTTTGGGTAAAAATAAAAATAAACTTTTAGATTTTTTTGATATTTGACTTGTTGATCAAAAGAAAATTGGCCAATTTTTAATCCCTTTCTAGATGATTAGTGCCTCGCTGCTGCTATTTTTTTGTATTTGATATTTTGCTGCTGACAAAACCTTTCTCAAACCCAGTTTATCAGATCCACTATAAGTGCAGATTAATTCAAATAAAAACAGGAACGTTTCTGCACCAACATCCTGTTTTTTGGCTTTTAAAGCAGATATCTCTATGTTGATGAGCCTTAAATATATCCAAGCCGTTTAGTCGGCATGTCATCCTAGACTCAAAAATCATTTTGAATCATTTTATTAGTTTGTATCTCTGGAACATGTTTGACTCAACTCCACCTCCTGCATTGTGTATCAGGTGGCAAATAGTCATCTATGTTTTTGATTGCGTTTGTAAATCATGGTCATACTGTGAAAATAAAGTTTTCAGATCTTTTGAAAACTTTATTTTCAAGTTTCATGTGGGTTTCTCACATTTCAGGATTCCAAATCATTTAATGGTCAGTTTGGAAGATCAATTCAAAACACAATCCAACCCCTCATTTACAGTGAAATGAAACTTTAGTCACCTTTAGGAAACATTATAAAACTTAAACATGAGCGTGTTAAGTTGATTTGTTCAGTGGAACCATTTTTCTAGTAATAATAATGCAGCAGAAGTACTTTTCCTTACCCATTTAGACTTTAATTAGTGCCTTTCTGCCAATAGAGGAATCTAAATGTCACACAGGGGAACTCAGCTGGCTCATGTAACATTTGAGATATCCTATTTATCGAATGTTTCAGATTCAGATACTTTCCAGTTTTAATTCATGATAAAATGTGTTTTTCTAAATGAAGCCATAACAGATTTTTGTGTTTAGTAATTATCACCAGAAAACATATTTTTATATTTTTTTTTTGTCTTGGTAAAATTACCTTTTGCATGTTAACAATAGCTAACTGGGTCTTTTTATCGGCTGAGCTCACCTTGGATGAGCCATATGAGCACAGACATTTTCCTCTCCACATGCACTAATAGGTGCAGCTGCAGGCTTTAGTCAGTTTGATTCAGCACAACTTCAAAGTTTTCCAAAGCCAATTTCAGTGTCTGTTGGTTTGTAGTTTAGGCTGTTAAAGATGCAGTATGTAACTTTTAAAAAAGTATGTTTTGGGGGGGTTTTGTCTAACATACTTGTTGAAACTGTCACCACATCATGACAGTGTAATATGAGACAGATCCACTATTGTCGTCTGAAGAAATGCACCGCTCCAAGTCAGAAATAACCAATCAGAGCCAGGTTGGTGTCTGAGTGCTGTCAATCAGGCCTGCACACGTGTTGCGATGTCTTATGTCTTGTGTGACGACACCGAAAGTAATAAAGTCCATAACATCCTTTAAAATCCCCTATTTTTGTCCATGTATGAAAGCCTGGTTTTGTGAGTCGATATGTGAAATCTTCAAATCTCTGAATATTGTTTTCTTTTTTGTCACAGAGAGGAGGAGCATTTTTCAACACAGCTGTGTCAAAGGTATTTAATACTTGTTTTTTTTCCAGTTCTAGATTTTTTTTTTCCACAGAAAGAAGTGGCACTCTTGAATGTTATAATGTATGTTGAAAAACATGTTGATTATAATTGGTAATGTAGCTAAAGAGCATTGTTCACGGCTGGCTGTGGCGTTGTACGCCGTATAATAGGTGGTCAGGGTGCCCTTTCATGTTATCGCCTCCTGTTAGCGAGCGAGGCTCTCTCATCCAGCCTTTTGTCTGCGTGTTTTTGCCACAGGGATCAAAGAATTTCTTGATGTTACACGAAACCAGAGCAGAATGCTAATTCGACATGTTTTGATTAGTAATCTGTCTTTGTGTCTGCGTGTGTTTGTGTGTGTTTCACCCCTCCTAGGCCAAGGTTCATGCCAAGCGGGGCATTCGGGACATTAAGGGGAGACTTAAAGCAAGGGTGAGCCGGCATGCACCTTCACACCTTTCCGACACAGTTTGCGCTGCATGCCAACACACACACACACACACACACACGCACACATGCGTACACAACTTTGTTCAGAGGCACGCAGACAGACACATGCCTCCCTCATAGAAACAGACAAGAAGGCTGCTTTACATGGAGTGTGTGATTCTGACGTAGGGGCCTTTTAATGACTGTTGAAGCCTGCTTAGCGCTTTGTTCGGGGCTGTACATTTTTAACTAGCGCCCCTCTGGCTATGGCCTGTCATGTCATCCGAAACCCCAGCCCTTCTTTCTCTTTTATTGTCTGCATATTTCATCAGTGAGCCTGTGATTTCCTCAAAGCTAATGTAACGAGGTGTATGTTTCCATAAGCCTGATGGATTTGATAAGGCAATAGCAGTTTGATCTGTCAGTGGGAAGCGAGGAGAGAGGGCAATGATGACGAACACGAGGCGTGCGCTTCGTTCTGCACAAACACATTCGGTGGAGGCAAACACAGGTGCAGAAATCTGTTTGATTTTGAAGTTAAGCAGATTTTCATGTTCGTTCAGAGGAGAAATTAATTTGTGATTGCACAGAGTCTCTGCTGCACTTTTTGAATTGGCTCCAGGGATATGAGAGCATGAAGAATGTGTGTAAGGTGCATCATTAATATTCTGTGCTTTTAATCTTTGAAGACATTTGTTTAAAATATGAAGATAAGCATAGAAATGTCTTGAGAATAGGCTAGGTGATGTGGACTTAGAATTTTAATCACAATATTATGAGGTACTATGTGATATGGTGCATCAGGGCCTTTGTACAAAGGGGGAAAAAATTCTGCCAAAAACATCAGAAATTCTTAGAAAAAAACAGATCGAACAAGGAAAATTCTGAGTTTGAAAAGTCTAAAATTTGTTTGACAAAACAGAAAATTTTAGATGAATCTCAGAAATTAAAAAAAAAAATTGGGAAAGTTTTTTCTGGAAAATTTGAGATTTGCCTCAGTACTTTTTTAGTGGAAGCTGCAGTAACTGATTACTAATGAATCAGTTGATAAATCAGTGTTTCCAAATATGAGATCAAGAAGTGAAGCTTTCCTAGTGAGGAGCAGATGGACCCTGTTTAACTCTTGTTGATTATTCTGAAGGGGTTTTCCATTCTTTGGGTTAGAATTTTTAGTTTTTGTGAAAATATCACGTTTGTGCCCTTTTGGCATTTTTGGCATTTTTGGCATTTTTGCAGTTCTCTTCCAGAGAACTGCAAAAATGCTTCAAATCAAGACTAATAACCCATTGTTTAGAGTTGCCTTTGATTAGAAATAACTGGAGCATAAATTGATCTTAGTCTTTATTCCAATATTTTATGATAATGACTTTTGATGACACTGGCGACCTGTAAAGGTGACCCCGCCTCTCGCCCGTTGTCAGCTGGAGATAGGCACCGACACCCCTCCCAATGGGATAAGGCTGTAAGAAAATGAATGGATGGATTTTTGATGATGAACATACAGTATGTTTCTTGTTTGTTGTTTCATATTTTCATCTTGGAAACCACCTTGAATTGCCTTGTTGCTGAAAAAATTATAATTTTTGTATTATTAATTCAGCAATACAATATTTCACTGTAAGAAGTAGAACTTATCCTATTTAAGTTTCTCACATTAATCTAAAATCGAAGATTAGCTTTGTGTTTGAAATTTTGGGCTTGTTTTTCATGATAAAAAAAACAGTTTGAGTAGGTAACATTGTTCACTAGTGAATGAGTTTGGTTTAATGTTCTGTCCTCCTGTAATCCATAGAAACCGTTTCAATTAGCGTTTATTATTTACTTCTCCAAAAACACAAAAAAGGCAATAATATTCTCAGGTTTCAGGTTTACTTGGACATTTTAAAGATGTCTGAAAAGTACCAGAATGAGTAGAGTAGCGCAGCGCTGCTCCTTCCCAATATTGTTGCTGCACACTGCCAGTTGACTGGCTGAAAGAAAATCCCTAAGTTTTTTTGCAGGGATTTTTTTACGCTTGCAAAAAAAACAAATTCAGCTATTTTGACATATTTCCAGTTGGAAAAAATACAATCATAGATTGAGAACTAAAGCATCTCCACCCTTAACTTTTACTAATGCAGCACTGCTTTTAAACTACAGCTTAAGAAATTTGAATATATTTTTAGCAAAAGAAATTATTTTGTTTAAAATACAGCGAAATGATATGTTTCTTCAAGGTTATGCTCCAAGAATCTTATATTGGCTGATGCCAAACACAGCTCATTTATTTTAAAATTCCATCCATCCATCCATTTTCTTACACCCTTGTCCATTAGTGGGGTTGTTAGGGTTGCTGGTGCCCATCTCCAGCTAACGTTCCGGGCAAGATGCGGGGTCACCCTGGACAGGTTGCCAGTCTGTCACAGGGCAACACTTATTTTAAAATGTGACATGTAATAATTTTTTTTAAGGTAAATAGTTTTACTTCAGGCTATAAATAAAATATATAAGCAGACTGATCTTTTAACCTGTGAATTAAATGTACTTTACTGGATAATGTGCAACATTTATACAGCTCAGAAATCCACACATTGGTGCCCACACTGATCACTCATTAGACAGAAAGTCTCAGATTTATATTCATCATCTCTCTCTCTCTGTTTCTCTCTTTCTCTCTCTCTCTCAGGAAGACGAAGAAGACGGGATGACAGTCCGTCCAGGGTCTCCCACCAGCACCAAGAGCCTGTCTCCAAGGAGACTGCAAAAGATGAGACGGGTACGACGTGCACAAACACACACAGTGCTACACACAGTGCTACAGAAGCACATCAGTAAACGAGTTATGCACATTTACACTGCCTGATCACACCACAGCTCAGTTTTCACTTGACCAATATGAATTCAGCCTTCCACTTTTCCACTATTTTCTGTCCACTTTCCTTTCTTGTTGTGATTTTTTTCTCCTTTTTTTGTAGCTCCAGATCTTTTTTTTTCTTCTTATCACCATCCTACTTCTCCTCTCTCCCCCCTCCTCTCACACTCTGTTGGAAGTACAGCAGTTTGTCAGGGTTCCAAATGTAATCATAAGCATTTTTCCTTCCCTTTCAACGCGCTCGTTGCTGTACACTCAGTGGTTTTCTCTGAACAGCACGGACAGTCGTAGCAACTCATCTGCTGGTCAGCATTTTCTCTGAAGAATTTGCTTGTGCTCCAAAAATGGATTGCAAAAATTTTGTCTTTGTTGTATGCAAAGCTGGCGCTTGATGTGCAAAACACACAATCATCAGTAAATATACCAGGAAGGATGACATGTTTTCTAGTTTAATTATAACAAACTAATGAAGAAGTTTATTTTTTCTCATTCTAAAAGTGAACATAAGTTTCATAAGGCAGGGAGTTTCTAATTATGTGAAAGTATTCACACCTGCTGAACTTTTCCAAATTGTGTCACAACCACAAACGGAAATTGATTTTATGTGAAAAATAGTGAATAACAGTGAAGTGAAGAGGATTTCAGGATGTTTTTGAATAAAAATAAAAAATATAATCTGAAAGAGTAGCGTGCATTTCTGTTGCGTGAATACTTTAAAGAACCAATTTGTGCTGCAATTACAGTTGCAGGTTTTGGGGAAAACATCTCTCTAACATTCTTAAAATCTAGAGAGATTTTTTTTTTCCACATTCTTCACAAAATAGCTTTAGCTCAGTCATAATTCCTGCTCAGAATTGGTCAATGTTACTTTTTTAAGTCTTGCCACAGACTTTGAATTTGATTTAGATCAGTACTTTGACTAGGCCAATCTGACACATGACTATGCTTTGATAGAAACCGGTGGTCGCCACCTTCAGTCCTCAACAGCCTGCATGTTTTAGATAGCTAGGGTAATTTTATTCATGTAGCACATTTTCAGCAACAAGGCAATTCAAAGTGCTTTACATGTATTAGAATGAAATGCAAACAAAGCAACAAACCAGAAGAAAGACAAAAAGGTAAATGTATAAAACTACATGTTGGTTCCCCATGTTTAATAAGAATTGGTAGTCCATAATTAATTAGGGGTTCTGGTAAAGCTACATGTTGGTTCTCCATGTTTGATTCTTGTTCTGGGTTGTTAAGTAGGTGGTACTTTCTAAGCCTGTTCTAGATTTGTAAACTAATAGGAAGGAGTTTCTCTAAGTCTTATTAAAAGTATAAAGCTAAATGTTGGTCTAAAGTAATAAGTATACCACAGTTTATAAAAGTAGCTAAATGTTGATCTAAGGTAATGAGTACGCCACAGTTTCCTGAAGTAATAAACTAAGCCGTTTTGTAGATGTGCCACTGATCTACACCATTCCACCCTGGTTCTGTGTTCAGTCTGGTTGTCCTGCTGGAAGATGAACCTCCACGTTGTTTGCTGCCTCTGACCAGTTTTCTTTCAGAATTGTCTCAAGTGTCTTCACAAACATCACCACAGGATCGTGCTGTCTGCTCAGTGTTAGTTTTCCTCCACTCAATGTTGCTTAGAAATATCAGTGTGTCTCTCATCTGGCCAGACCTTCTGCCACATGTTTGCTATGTTCCTTACTTAGTTTGTGGGAAACTCCAGAAACAATTAAACGTTCTTTCCAGTCCTCCATAAAAATGGAGTGAACAACTAATAGTTGTCCTTTTGACCCTTTCTTCCTCCCTGCACTGTTTTTCCAGAGTTATCATGTATTTTGGCTGCTATTTTGAACAATGCTCTCCTTTTGCTGTCGGTGGACATGTGTTTGTTAGTAGGTTTGCGTTTTTACCACACCCTTTTTGTTTTTCAGCCGTGGTTTTAGCAGAATGCTCACAGCTTTGGGATATTGTTTTATAACCTAGCCCTGCTTTTAATTTTTCCGCTGCTAAATCTCTGATCTGTCAGCTCTGGTCTTCATTAAGATATTTTTTTCCACTAATATAATGTAATAAACTTTTGACATCTTTAGAGACAGGATGTATTTATGCAGGGATTAGATGACACGGAAGTAAACACCATTTATAAATCACCTCACAGCAGTTGTTTACAAAAACTTTTTCTTTAGGGGTATCAAGCATCAGAAGGGATCAGTACAAATGCACACCACACTCTTCAGATTTTTATTCATTCCAAAAAATTTAAAGTGATGCTAAAAGAGAATAATTTACACTACGACAAAATCATTTTATTTGGGATAAAATTTCAAGTTGTTAACTGCAGGCTGAGTAGAAATGCAAGATATTTTTGAAAAATTCACAATAATTAATTTCTTTGCGTTTCTCCATCACCTAAAATCCGAATAAAATACTTTAAAATTCGTAGTTGAACCATTAAAAAATATGTATAAAAGTTAATACTTCCTCAGGGAGCTTTTTGTCGTCTTCCACCTCATATCTACACCTCTGTGGAGGATTTTCACCTCTCATTTTTAAACACATAAATTGTAAGTGGACTCTGGAAGAAAAAAAAAAAAAAGTAACAAAAAAAAAAAACAACGGTTGCCTGCATTCACATGCTGACATTTCGGTCGCAGCCGCGTACGGGTGTGATTAGGAGAGCTTGTGCTGTGTCTAATTAGCGTTGTGTTTCCTGTGTGTGTGATGAGGCTGGAAAGTCTTAGTGTGGGGAAGGTGTGACGGCCGGGGGAGAGAGAGGAGAAGAACGGCAATTAGGGATTTTCTAAAGGCCTCCTCGGACACCCTCCTCCCCCGCCGTTCCCCCTCAGACAAAGACGGCCCGTCGCACACACAGATTGACTGTTAACACACACACACACACCAGGCTCAGGATACACACTCACACCCATGTTCATGCCACTGAGGCCTGCTCATTGCCACAGTAACAGGTCCCTGGAGACGGCGGGAGGAGGGACGGTCAGGACGCAGGACGGCGTGTCCCACAGCGTGGCTTTTGTGTGTCTGTTTACATGTAGTCAATCACTCTCTAGTTACTCATACACTCTGACCATTACTGTCTTCTCTTACTGGCCCGCCTCCCTTATTTTGCTGGATTAATAATTAAACGCGTCTATATGAAAACTCTTATAAGCTCATCAGGGCTTTTGTGTAAAACATGATAAATGAAAACAAAAACTGTAAATTCAGAAGCCAAGAGGAGCTTCATAATTTATGGTTGTCGGTTCTTATTAACCGTCAAAAGATGGAAACGCCACAAAAATTTCTTTAGAAAATGTTGCAAAATTTATAAATTTCTTATTTTCCGGCTTGTCTTTTTTCATTTTTCCACCAAACCCAAATCATTTAGGTAGAGATGGTCTCCAGGTCTTTGTTTTCTGAAAGCACTCCTTTCTATTTTCGCCTGTTTATTTCACGGCATATTTACATTTCTGTTTGTGGAAACAGCAATTGTTCCAGCTCTTTGTTTTTCACCTTTTATCCATAGTTTTTCTCTCTTTGAGGCTGACTCCTATACATTGTTGATACTGATGTTCGTTCTGCCCACAACCGTCTTGACCAGGTGTTCTTTCCTCGAGAAATTGATCTCACGAGACCAACACGGTTAAATAAAGGTTAAGTGAAATTACCTGCAAACATCTCCCACTCGGCAAGCTCCTCTTCGCTTGATCAACCTTTTATTCTTCGCTCCATTTATAGGGTCAAATCTCTGTCCATACCATCTGCGAATACTACAATGACAGAGTTTCGTTGCCAAATCTAACAATACCGCTTTAATCTGGCTTTGATTTAAAAGATTAGAAGGCAATAAAACTCAATAAAGAAAATAGTTTTCAGCTGCAAAAAGTGATGAAGTAGAAACCTCAGTTGGAGGAAAACAGGCTTTAACCTGTTTTTGAAAATGTATCTTATTTAACTGTTTATTTAAACATGGTAGTTTGAGATGTACTGAGGCAGTATGTACATTTAATTGTTCTCAGGTATGCATCCTAACTTAAATGTTTTAACTTGACTTTTTTTAGGTTTAATGTGATGGGCCAACACAATGTTGCTCATAATTGTGAAGTTGGAGAAAAAGGTTTAATGGTTTTTGAACTTTGTTTTTACAAATAATGCTGAAAAATGTTCTCCGCATACACATTCAGTCTCATCAGTACTTTGTAGAAGCTTCAGCTCTTGGTGGTGAAGTTTCTAGCAGTGTTACACATCTAGAGATGAAAATGTTGCCCTTTCTTCCTTACAAAATAACTCAAGCTCAGTCAGGGTTGATGAAGATTTGATGTGGTATCAGTTTTAAAGTCTTATCACAGTTAAAAATGACCACACCATGATGCTGTCGCTGCCATGTTTCGCTGCCTGTAGGTTCAAGTTCTGTAGATTTGTAGGTTGACAGATTGTCCAGCCTGAGCTGGGCGTCTCTGCAGCTCCTCCAGAGTCTCCATGCTCTTCTCTGGTTGGTGTATTTGTCTGACACAGTTTCCCCTCTGACCTGTCTGTTGTGTTCCTTGATCTTCATGAATCTCAAGGAGGTTCATTAATTTTCTCCATCAAACCTCTGAGGCTTTATGGAACAGCATATTCACACTGAGATTAAAATACTGTGTCTGAATGCAAAAATGCAAGCCACATTTTTTAGATTTTTATTCGTAAAAATCATATTTTTATCTTATTTGCCTTTGTGTTGGTCTATTATTTAAATCACAATTAAATTAAACATGTAAAAAAAAACTTAAATATACAGGACATTGTATATCCAACTTTTAAACGGCTAGGGGACTTCAGGAAAAGTTTGTCATCAAATAATTAGCGACATTCCACATTATTGTAGAAAGCAAAGATTCCTTTTGCATTTTTCGCGTTGTTCATATTTGAAG